AACGGCGATCTACGCTTCGGCTCGAACCGCGCTTACATGACCGAAAGGACAGCCATGCACGAAATAAGTCATACGCTGGGAGTTGGCCAAACGGCGGCTTTTGACAGAAAGTGTGCAGCGGGTGATTGGAAGACGGCGCTACCACTGCTGAGAAGCTTTGATGGAGCGAATGCGAAAATTACTTGTGGTGGTGGACATTTCTGGCCATATGGTAAGTTCTGACTGTACGATATGCATGTGAGACCTACACTGACTTCGCACCTCTGCACCTGCAGGACTGAACTATGATACCGAGTGGAGCGAAACGAATGCCAACCGGCATGTGCAGATAGTAGAGGCGATGCTGACTGATGGGATGTAAAATGATTCTTGAGACTACGCAGATTGTAGGAGTCTAGTATTGCTACAACGTCAATGAATCCCTCATCGATCGATACAGTGCAGTAGTACATCATGTCGACTAATTCAGAAGTACCAGAGACATGTGCGATCACTGCGACCAAATGGATACTTGTCGTGAAAAGTTACTGACGGCGCATGAATACATACCTCAATTCTGTCGTGGTCTATTGCTTCAGTTTCCAGACGCTGATCATGTCATCGCCGCGACTTTGCTTGAACGAAACTGGTGGCTTCCAATACACAACTCTTTCGAATGAGCCCTTCCCTTGGGAATTTCCGATAAGATTGCCCGATTCATCGAACAGACCGTCAGCACCATCAGCTAGAAGATTCCAGTGTACGCCATTAAGACCCCAAGGCGGACCCTGATCTTTCAAGGGCTTCCACATGGGGAACTCGAGGCATACGAGCACACCGTTTGGCGACAAAAGACTTTTCATGCGCTCCGCCCAGTCTTTTCGCATCTCAGGAAGCAGGGCACACAAGAACTAAGTGCAGACCATCAGTCCCCACTATGAAGACATCAACCGGATGGAACTCGGCATCTTAAACTTACTGTGTAATCATAGATAAGATCGAAGCCCTGGAAGTCTGGCCCAAGATAGGTCTCAATATCCCTTTTGAAGAAGTCGCCGAGCACGACGTCAGCGTGATGGCCAGCCGAAGGATCCAAGTAAGATTTTACGTTTTCGTTTGCAGTATCCACTGCTCCTTGGGAAATTTCGAGACCCCACGTCTTGAAGCCATGAAGTGCTAGCAGCGCCACATCATGACCTTTGCCGCAGCCCTAGTGTACGATGAGCCACTTTCGTGAACAACCTCGTCAAGAGACACCTACGGGTACAAAGGCCTTCAACTGACGTTTAGCCTTATCTTGGAACAGCGTCTCGCGATAAGGATGTTCTTCCAGAAACTTCGTCAGTGCAGGCGAAGGCTGGCCACGATCCCACAGATCCTGTTCATTCTTTTCCCATAGTTTGGCCCACCCATCGCCCTGCGCATCCCGTGTTCTGGGACTGTTAGCTGTGGCTTACGGATGTGGCGGAACGTAGCACTCCGTACTTGTAGTCATCAAAATGGGAAACCAAACGGGTTCTGTTCTCAGCGAAGCGGGCCTCGGATGTCATGATGCGGAAGGATGCAAGGATTCGGGATGTGACGGCAGGGTGTGTGAGGCCGTTTCTATGAGGGTTGAGATCCGTTGATCAGTGCGCCGCGCTAGTTCTGTGCCTGACTTGGACCTGGCTGGTGACAGCACATCCTTGACGTCACCCCACCTTTTATCAACGACACCAAAAATCCGGATACCTTCGTCCGCAATCGCGCAAGTGAGGAATACTTGGAATCTACTTGTCGCGGTCCAAGCCTCATGAACCTGTTAGCCTGAGGCTGTGTCTGCCTTAGTGTTTCTACCAAAGAGAGGCTTTAGTAACGAGAGGCTCAACAATTCGTCGGGAATATGCAACATCAACATTAAGCACAGGCCGGCTGTGTAACACCCACTACTGACTCCACCCAGGCACTAGGAGATATGCAACCTAAAAGGTACACTACGGGATAGATGCCGTCCTCGTCTACTGGTAGCCAATAACGGCCTCAGTATTGCTCTAATTTACTGTGACGGCACAGATTGGAGATTGGCTATGCTATGGCTCAGCCGACATCTGAATGCAACTACCAGACTTCTTGTTTCCTCGCTCCGGTAAGCCACATCTCAGCCACTCAGAGGCCAAGACCTTGGTGATGGACGTCATAGGGGCGCAGTGTGAAGAACAAGAATAGAGCTCTGCGCCTGGCAGTAGGATCCGAGATGCCGTTTGGTCCCACGAGAGCCACTCGTAGCCTTGGTTGTTGCATTGCGCTCGCGCGCTGTTCCAATGCGTTGGTGCGGAGCACTTTGCGTCAAGTCTTGAAGGGGGTGCCGCTTGTGATTCTACAAGAGTCGAGATATGCGCGCTCTCTTTTTATGAGTCCCAAGGCACAGTGAACGTCATTCTCCTTCTCATCCCAGTGTCCTCTCCTGAGACATATATTAGCACCCATGGGTCGCCTTCTCTCAAGTTCGATCTCCCACAGTGCCCGAACTTTGTATCACTTACGCTATCGGGTCGCTGCTGTATTCTTCATACTTGCGTTATTCCAGCAACAACATCTGTACCTCACTAGTCGGCAAGCACTCTCGGAAAAGTACTCTGCGACCGATTTCGATTCACACAACGGAGGCCTGCAGACTCGATCCTGGACGCCTGACGATGGGTATACAGTGTTCCAAGACGAGCTAATAGCAAATCGAGCATCATGGAAAGTGCTTGGCGAAGGCTGGGAAGGCAAGGTGTTCGCCTATGAAGACTCAGTTATCAAGACATTCACACCGGGGCGGAGTCCGTTCCGGAATTGCGCGCCTGACGCGACCAAATGGCCCACGGAAATACCCGCATCACTACAATTTGGAGGTACCGCTACCGACGATGCGAACACAACACACGATGGTTTCCTTCCTGTGAAGGCACATTTTATGGCTTCCACAACGCCTAGCGAGCCAGCGGAATGGCATCTCGTTACTCCCCTGTTGAGAAGCGGTAATCTTGCTTCACTCGCCAGGAAGCTTTCCACGGAAGAACAGCCCATGTCTTACGAGCAGATTGATGCGCGCTATCGGCCGGCCTTCAACGGACTGTTGGAGAACATGGGCACTCTTCACGGTGCAGGCTATTGCCACGACGATGTCAAACCGGGGAACGTGTTTATCCAAGACGAGTCCCATTGGGTGATAGGCGATTTGGGCAATGTGCGGGAGGTGGAACACCCCTATCATTCTTCGCGTATCTGGAAAGATAATGGGCAGCTAGACGATTGCCGTGCAAACGACGTAGTACGAGCTTTGCAATCGTACCTGAAGTTTGTTCAATCTTCTGCCGCCGACGAGGATGACTTCAATGAAACCTTGTATGGAGGCCAGGCACCCTTGAGCAGACTCTTTTGGTGGACACTTGCGGATGCGCCAAGTATGAGTGCAGAGGAGCTTCGTCAACGGTCTCTTGTAGAGTACCCAGAAGTGGCGCGTGAGATTGAGGTTGATGATAGATACCTCAAACCCACTCTGCCTCATACTTTTCTGAGCCTGTTTTCTAAGCGTCGAGCGATGAAAAATGCGGTTGATCAAGCACTTACGACACGAATTGGTGAAACGCGCGCAAGAATGTGGGGTATGGTTTGGCTGTTTGGTGTACCCGAGTCGGAGATCTGTTGAGCAACTTTTAGTGGTTTGTGAAGTTTGATACCCAAGATACCTGGCGTTGTTCTTACTACTTAATGAAGTCATCCTTCTTCTATTGCGCCACATAACCAGAACCTGAGTCACCTGACATGTGGTATCCACCCAATTGCGACAATGTTGTTCCACGCCGTAAGTGATTCGCTGAGATCAAGACCTGGGGGAGTCTGCGAAGTTTAGGGTCGCCATACCATCGGTAGATACGGACAGGCTAAGAACACCGAAGAACCCCGAGAGATTGCGTAAAACGAGTACCAGCACAGACGAGGCTATGTGGTAGCTATCGTTGGCACAATCAAAGGGTATCCCTTGTGGCGCGCGACGGGAAGGATTACTTCAATATCCAATGCGCTCCCATCGTCTGTCATTGTGCTTGTTATCCCACTCGTCACGATCCTTCTGCTTTTACCCTGCGGGTCAAGCAGTGAAAGAGACAACAGAGCATCCACTCAGGTAAGAGTCAATGCGATGATCATCACAAAGTTAGGAGTTCGCACCCCACGCAGTTCCAATCATGTTAACAAGCACCCCACGTCAGATGCCTCATGTAGCGACAGTGAACAAATCCAAGCCAAGCCTTTCGCTCAGCTATTTTACTCAGCTTGAAAAAGATCACAAGGCAGTTCCAGGTCGTCTTCCCTTAATGTCTAGGAGCGCAGGATCGGGGCATAATTGCGCATACTCCCCAGACACATGTCGGCAGGTTCATCGGAACAACACAAAGAGGTCCACGACAGCGGTGTCGTCGTCAATTCATAGTATCCTTTGGGTCCTGTTCATTGCTCAAGCGATTCTTCTCCTCTCCAGTTGAACCAGCCACTTTCTGGGTGGGAAGTCTCGGCAAGTATTCGGTCTGCAATACGCTGTTGTCTGTAAAGCGCCCGCTTCGGCTGTAACTCGTAGCGTTGTTTCGATCGGCAAGCCTTGCATGCAGACATCTGATTTTCTTGGACGAGAAGGATAAGGACAAGATATGAGATTAGAGGGAAGGTTCTACCAAAAGTCAGAGGTAGAGTCATCCCTTGGGTCGACTCTAGTACCGCCGTCTTGAAATTTTGTTAGATGCTAGCATGTGGTAATCAGAAGAAACTGCACCCATAGCTGCTAGTCGCTGCCGTGATATGGTTGTGTATGCGGTGTGATTTGCGGTGAGTAAGTGTTCAAAGAATGAAGCGGGCAAAGGACAGGGGTGAAGCTTGCAGATGTCGCATGGCTTGAGCGGCTAGCGCGCGGATCATGACATCGCCATCACCAAACTCCATCCTACCATTATACACGACTCCCAACGTCGACGGTATGCATGGTGACTTGACAGAAACCAGCGATGATCAAGGGCAACGATAGTATACCCAATACTTGCAAAGACGGCAGCAAAGATATCTGGGGCAAAGACCGGCCGCGCGACATCCACCTCCAACTCTCCATCTCCTTCGCGCTTGGCATAGGTGCATTTCTGACATTCTGCGTTCGTCCTCACAGCCTCGTCTTACCACTCACCTACTGACTGGCCGTCTTAGTTTCTCCGTCCACGATGGAAGGGCCTCTACGCTGCACGCAAGAAGCAGAACGACCTCGCGACCTCGCTGCCCGAGCTTCCCGATAGCCTTTTCGGTTGGATTATACCGCTATGGAAGATTACCGACGAACAGGTGCTGGCCTCGGCCGGCCTCGATGCCTACGTATACCTCGCCTTCTTCAAAATGGCTATCAAGTTTCTGCTTGTTACGCTGTTCTTCGCGCTGGCCGTCATCAAGCCGGTGCATGACACACATCAAGAAAAGGAGGGAAAGAAAGCTCCGATTCATGGAGACCCCAGCTGGGACCGCATCGAGATAAGAAGTACGATCTCTACATTCGCAGCCGAATACGAACAGTATACCGACTATCTATGGATGTATCTCGTCTTTGTTTACCTTTTCACCGCTCTTATACTATACTTGATTGTCTCGGAGACGAGGAGGATCATTGACATCCGGCAAGAGTATTTGGGGAGTCAGACAACCATCACCGACCGAACCATCCGATTATCGGGTATCCCTATTGATCTCAGGTCGGAGGACAAGATCAAGCACTTCATTATGGATCTCGGCATCGGCAAGGTTGAGAGTGTGACTCTCTGCAAGAACTGGAAAGAGCTCGACAGTAAAGTTATCGATAGACAAGCTGTCTTGCGGAAGCTGGAGGAAGCTTGGACTGTCTATCTTGGAAGCCGCAGAGTGGAACGAAGCTTAGAGACTCTTCCGGTGGTCCAGCCACGTCCGCCACAACATACTGAAAGTAGCGGCAACGACGAGAATGAGACAAGCCATTTCTTAAGCGACACAGATCGGGACTCTGACTACACCACCCCTCATGCTCAGCAGCGCCCGACAGCCAAGATTTGGTACGGCCGCTTTAAGCTGCGATACAAGAGAGTAGATGCCATTGACTATTACGAAGAGAAGCTGCGCAGGATCGACGACGAGATCCGCACGCTGCGCAAGAAAGACTTCGAACCGACTCCGTTGGCTTTTGTGACCATGGATAGCGTCGCGAGTGCGCAAATGGCCATTCAGGCTGTGCTTGACCCTTCGCCACTACAACTCCTAGCTCACAATAGCCCAGCACCACAAGACGTAGTCTGGTCGAACACTTATCTATCTCGTCGTCAAAGAATGTTTCGATCTTGGTCAATCACGGTCGCCATTGGCATTCTGTCCGTTTTCTGGACAGTTCTGCTAGTACCCATTGCTGGTGCTCTGAACACGTGCTCCATTCAGGAGGTTTTTCCCGGCCTGGCAAAAGTGCTGCACGACAACAAATTTGTAGAGTCCCTTGTCAATACTCAGCTTCCCACATTGGCACTCACTCTGATCAACGTAGCTGTGCCTTTCTTGTACGACTGTAAGTGTGCTAGTGCTGGATAGCCAAGGCCTGCGATGCTAACAATCTTCAGGGCTCGCCAATAAGCAGGGGATGATCTCACAAGGCGATGTCGAGCTGTCAGTCATCTCGAAGAACTTCTTCTTCGTTTTTTTCAACTTCTTCATCCTCTTCACTATACTGGGGACTGCTTCCAACTTCCTGACTATGCTTGAGCGCTTCGCCGAGAAACTCACGAGCGCTACACAGATTGCATACGCCTTGGCAACGTCGCTCTCGAACCTATTGGGCTTTTACACCAACTTCATCATCCTTCAAGCATTCGGACTCTTCCCGTTCCGACTTATGGAGTTTGGTGCCCTCTCTCTGTACCCGGTCTATCTAATTGGGGCCAAGACCCCCCGAGATTACGCTGAACTGGTACAACCTCCGGTCTTCAGTTATGGGTTCTTTTTGCCACAAACCATTTTAATCTTCATCATCTGTATGGTTTACAGTGTGTTGAGAGACTCATGGCAGGTTCTCCTTGTCGGCTTGGCCTATTTCATGATCGGCCACTTCGTCCACAAGTATCAACTCTTGTATGCCATGGAGCACCGACAACACTCAACTGGCAAGGGTTGGACAATGATGTGTGATCGCGTTATTGTCGGTGTCGTACTCTTCCAAGTTACTGTTGCCGGTCAACTGGCTCTAAAGAAGGCGTTCAAGCGGGCTGTTATGGTAGCACCGCTAGTCGTCTGTACTTTGTGGTTTCTTGTTGTATTTGCGCGCACCTATCGACCACTGATGAAGTTTATCGCCCTGAGAAGCTTGCGAAGTCCGGAACAATCGGATCTTGGGCGCGACGTTCAGGAAGAAGCTGTCGTCAATAGGCCACTTGGGCGGAGAACTGCAGGCAGACTTACTTTGGACGAAGCCCGAGAACGCGGTCTGCGATTTGAGAATCCCAGTCTTATTATGCCGTATGTATATCTTATGCCATTATGTGCCGCTTTTACTGACCAACATGTTTAGTTTGGACGATGTGTGGCTACTTAACAGGCATGGTAGACCCCAGAACGGATCACATGGATCTGGGATCAACGATGCCAATGGTAGCTGGGAGTAGCCCATTCGGGCTTTCCTCAACAAGGCTAGGGATGCGCCTTCATGTATATGGTTCACAGTCTTGCCTTCTTGTACATTTTGTCGCTCTTTCTTAGTTTGTGTTCGTGATACCCACCATCGCAATGAATTTGGTTATGAGCCTACATCACCGGTACCTCACATTCTTTATTCACCCACCACAAGCACCCAAATCTTGTGGGACACTTTATCCATACTACGTCCCTTATCCTTTCGTCACTAGAAGATAGTCATATTCTCAACGTGGCTAGTACTTGTCGTGCTTACTCCCTGGCCAGCCTCACCAGCAAATCACCTCGGACCGGTGCACCTCCATCCTGGGGGTTGCTTCAACCACGTCTTCTCAGATATATCTCTCGCGTGGGGTAGCCGGAACTAAGTCTGAGCCAGCGCTTCCTGTATTCAACATTGAACCTCTCCAGATAGCCTCATTCTTCGAATCTCCAACCACGCGAAGACTGTCTCTCACTCCGCCCCGTTCCTGCCACCGCGAACGTATGCCATACACGCTAGACCCTGCAATGACGACCCCACTATTGGCTGAACCAAGCCTATCACAAACCATCCCACAGCAGGTGGTCTCCCGATCACTACACGGGATGCACAACCGCCAGCTCCAAAACGCTCCGAAGTTCTCCGTCATGTCTTTCCCCGACCTTCACGAAGCCACAATCCTCATAACCAAAAAAACGTACCTCGTGTCGCCAAAACCAATCGTGCCAACACCGCGCTCGCGTCTCGGCTACAGTCTAGACCGCGAGTCGCTTTCCAAAAATACATCACATACTTCTTCGGCAGTGCCCATGGCCGTAACATGGTCGCGGATAGTCCTGAGGCAAGGTCTCGGGCATCTAGCTTTGGGTCCAGGCCGGGGTCCTCCTTATATGGTTCAGTACCTAGCCTGGATGTCGTCTCACCTGCCGCATTCATGTTCAGTGGACCAAGTCTCCGGTCTGTGGGGTCTTATAGCGACTCAATGTCTCGCCTCCCAAGTCTTGCGGAAACAACTAGCGATATACAACTGATGCGTCGCGCACGAACCGACTCTTTCTCAATGCTCGACAGTGCCAGTGTCATTCAGGATGCAATCTTCGAGCCTGGTGTCGACGAAAGCATAACTCGCACTGTGAATGATGTCCTGCTTGGTGTTCACACACAAACCGAAGAAATTGAAAGCCCTCTGCTCATTACGCTCGAGGATGGTTCCTCCATCTTTACTGGCGCACAAAGTCATGTCATGTGCAGTAGTAGTCTCCATCCTATCAGACACCCCGCCACCTCTCCTGTGTGCACTTTTGCCACACTTCTCTTACCATACTTGGATACAGCTGCATGTAATGCATTGAGACTGACAAATCTTGCCTGGTATCTCGCTCTGAGCGTCGCAGCACCACCGATATTTCCGAAATCGTATCACCTTCCAGTCGAGATACTTCAGCACGTATACGATTACCTCAGCCCAAAGGACTTCAATGCCGTGCGTCATACCTGTCGACACTGGATGCAAGCAAGTCTTGACAGGAAACTGCTGCGTACGATGATAGGCAGAGGTGGCTGGCTGAGTGGCACCGAAAACACCAACTGTAGAACACGCGGTACTTCTTCTGGTCCCATTATAACCACTGTTTCGCAAAGTGAGGAATGGTCACTCAGTAGGCACCTTTCTCGGCAGTGTGCTTTATCGTCTGGGTGGACTGGAAACGGACTGGACACTAGAGCCGCCATCATGGAAAGCTCCGACATTGACTTTGCTGAGCTAGCCGACGGATATGCAAATGGTTTGATATTTGCCACAAGCCTCTGTGGCCGCTTTTTGTGCGTAGCACGAGAAACCCTGATCTACATCTACGTTCTAGAGAGGGGCGTTCCAGTCCCTATCACAAGCGTCGTGTGCCCAAGAAGGGCCCTCGAAATGAAGATGGACGTCTCCTCTGGTCGACACACGATTGTGGCCCTTCTCGAAGGACGCATGGGCCTGGTTTGCGAGCTTCAATATGGTCGCACAGTTAGAGGCAACGGTCCTGTTGAGGTTCACGTTGACATTGATGGACCAGAGAGGGGGACCACATCGGCATCCATACAGACCAGCTGTGTCAACGACTATGAAACTGGTACTAATTTCCAAGGACGCAGCATGGCTCGGACACATCGTCTGTTCGTTCAGGAGCGAGATCCTGCAAGCTCCGACACGATTAGCGTACGATCGAACAACGAGCACATCAACCTCCAGAACACCAATGATTGTCGGACGTACGATCAACACTTCATCAACTATACATGGACCCTCAACTTATCCGGGCCTTCACGAAGGCGGTCAACACAGGCGAATTGTATTCCCCACTCATGCGTTCACAGCGTCCCAGTTGAAAGTGGAACGACAACAATCTACCGCCACCTGTGCGCTGAAGATGATCCACCACGCAGTGTTTCTATCTGCCCACAACGTCGCTGCGTCGCTTTCGGTTGTTCCGCGGGCATTGAGTTACACTGGATAGATGCGCTCACGGGCCAAAGTCTGAGCCGTTAGTTTCCGCTCACAGCGCCAAGTTAGTATACATTTCTTGCATCTATTATTCGACTAACATCCAGCAGGCGACCATTTGTACTTCCTTTCGCCACGACCAGGTTTCGAGTCGGCCAAGAAACTCCGTTTAATCTCCAGTGCAGCTCATCCAGAAGACAGACCTGCCATTAGCCGCAAGCTTTTCGGTCGGCCCACTATGAGCGCTTTCTGGGGTTCTTTCGGGTTTGAATCTACGTCACACCGTCCAGGCTCACCCAGCTGCGATCACTATCGTGCTATCCCTTTGAGCGACGGATATCACATTCTATTCATCGATCCCTCCACTGGCCTACTGAAGCTAAGCTGTGACGCGCCGCTTGGTGGACCCACGAATCTCCTTCGCAAGATCACACTCGTCCCGCCAGAACAGAACATGGTGCCAAGACTGTATAGTGCGGCCGCGGACTTGTCCCAGGGTGTCCGCATCGTCGTGACTTATGGCGACAGCCTCGTGTTATACAGCATACCCCCGGATGTCATTCAACTATCGCAGATGGAGCAAAACGCTAAGTGCTGGGATGCCTACAATGCTTCTACGAACCCAACACTGAGGCGCCAGAGGGATCATTGGCTCAACTAGTGGGATGAGCCATCCTACTGCGAACCATCGAATCAACGCGAAGGTGAAAACAACAGCTCTATATGGCCTCTTGCTATCCGCGGTACAGAAGTCGGAAGATTGGCAGGCGTCTGCGAGCTCGCGATACAAACTCAGCCGGAGATCTTGGTCTGGGCTTTCACGCATACGTCGAAATGCAAAACCTGGCGTCTATGCAATTACATCGATCCTGTTCTTGTTGACAAGAGTCTTGTCTGCCGAAACGGCATTGTACATGATGCCTTCTCTGTCAATGGATCCGGAGATGTCATCATGACAGACGCATCACACGCTTTACCCATCAACGGATCCATTGATCTCCACGTAACGGGTGAAGATACCGAGATACCTCAAGCAGAGAGGTCAGTTCTCGTTGGGTTCGATGGGAATAGTTCTGGCATCTTGAAGAGGATACCGAAAGCACTGGCTGTGGAGAATGATGAGTGGGTGGATTACTTGGATGCAAGAGGTTGTTCGGAGGCACGGTATCAGGCCAATGGCGATGTGAACATGTGGTATGGGACTCGAGACTCTGGGTACAGGGAGGAGGATGACGATGGTGAAATTCAGTAAGCGTGATTAGGAATTGAGACGTACATTAGACGTACGACTATTTCTACCAAATCCTAGTACCTAGCTAAACCCTATAACACAACGACCATCTCTCGGAAGAACAAGCTCTAGATCAACATAATATCTTTGCTTCACAACTTCAAGCCGTCACATTCTTTTCACAAACATGCAACTGCGCGTGAAACATAGTATCTACATACATGCCTTTCCTCCACAACTCGATAGCGTATGCACATATCTCAACTTCCCACCCTCAACTCTGAACTCATGACTATCCGGCAAACCATCAGCTCCAACCTGTCCCTGAATCCCTCCAAAATCCATGATGATATCCACAGTCCCATACTCTTCATCAATAACATACTGTCTGTTTACCAGTGGCACACCACTTGGAACACCAACGTCGCACCTATCAGTCGCTTCGCCTTTACCCGTGTACGCGCCGCCCTCAAGACGAGCACATGGGGAACCCCACGGTACTTTGACGCTTTGGTTGTTGAACAAGTCGGCGTAAGCGTCCCCTGCTGCTTTGATGACAGCACGCGAGTCTCGCTTTGCGGCAGGGATAGCGTCCCACTTTTCGTGCGTGGCCCAGTAGTATGTTCCTGTAACGTTGAACAACCAGTCTCCTTTGCTCGTCCAGATAGTGTCGATCTGCGACACTTTGGTGGAGTTGTCGAGGCGCAGTTGCGTTGCGATTACGTATGGTGCGGCGGTATTGGTGACGATGAATTCACTAAAGGCGGCGCACTGGGTGGTGTCAAGTTGAAATCGAACGTGGTCGATTTTCATGGGCTTGGAGAGGATGCCCTTCTTGATGTCGACGCTCTTGCGATTTTCCGTGTAGGCCACAGTGCTTGACAGGGAATTGAAGCTTGTCTGTCCTGCAGTTTGAGCGGCGAGAAGCTCATCAGTCACGGCTTTGAGCGCTTCACGAGTGCATGCTGCGTGGGTTTGCGTTGCGAGGATGCTGAAAATAGTGATAACGAGGTTACGCATCTTTGTTAGTAATGCGTGTCAGCGTCGAATAGACTTTTCTTAACCGAGTTGATATGTTGAATTTACTCGCGTTATGAATAGCGCTTGAAGTTCAATGCCCTCTCCCTTCAGATGGGGCCTTCTCTTCAACCAATAAAACCCGTGAACGATATTAATACACCCAAGTCCGGCAGTTAGCGATCCATGCATAGGTGTAATATATACACATTTTCCAGATTGTATGGAGAGGGGAAGTATTGCAAATCTTTTG